GCTTGCATGTCAGCCCCGGTTGAGCAATCACCCGGGTCTGCCATATCCAGCTCTGATGGCAGGATTTGCACACGAGATAGTGCTGCTTCATGTTCTCGTCCTCCTCCGCGGTCTCGCCACTATGGCGCGTGCGGCCCGGACAGCTGGCTTTGTATGGGACCAGCTTGAGAACCTGAGATGGCTTGAGCCTTGAGCCTACACACATATATATATATATAATATATATATATATATCCAGCGATGTTCAATCGCAGGAGCGAGTGCAAAGCCGATTGCGGGATGAGCATCCCTCCGTAGCATTGAGTCTCCCTCTCCAAGCGGGAGAGGCAGATTGGACCACTGAAACGAGAGCGGGTGCAACATGACACACGCGACACTTGATGTGACACCTGATTGTACCTGCCGTCCTTCAAGGTTCTGCGGAATGTTCAAGCAGAATTCCATCCGGTTGCTGCAGGCAAAGTGTATCATTTGCACAATTCATCACAATTTTTGTCCGTCGTTGCACAACAGTGCACTAGGAACCTCCGATTGCGTTTTCAGGTGAGGGTGATGGGACACCTGGTGCACACGAAGGTGATGACCATGCACAACTGCTGTCGTTGGGGACTCGCGGGCACCCGAGCAAGTGCAGCTCGTCTGCAAGAGACATATGCGGAATGCCAGGCCATACTGCTCAATGTATAAAGCTGGGGCAGGTGTAGAAGACAGGTACTGTAATTAAGCCAAATCTGGTTCGAAACGTTTCGACCCTGGATTGATTCTCATAAAGCGCATGGTATTATTTTGCTGATCTGGCTTTGACACGCCAACTGCAATTGTAGCCGGGCTTTCTTCTCTCTAGTCTTCCTCAGTTTGATGTACAGTACATTTTGCGGGCGGAGTTTGAAGTTCCTTGTCTTCTTTGGTTGCGCCGCTTTTTATTGGTTTCTGAAAGACACTTGTCTGAAACGAAGAAGTAACATGCTTCAATGCCAACATATTGAATTTTCCTCCACAATGTATGATCAAGCCCGGCTTGAGTTTGCTGGGGCAATCCACCACACGGAGTGGTTCCCTTCGAGTCAGCCTCAATTTTTTGTGGTATTTCTTTCAGTCTTCATTCAGCAGCACTCTCTCTGCCACTTAGCTCATCTCACCTTGTTGCATCCTTCTTTCCTCCCTGTTTTTGGTGTTCTTCCCGTCTATCACTTTTTTATTTGCAATTTAGTTTTGTCTTGTTTTGAGATCAGAGTTGTGACCTCTTGTTGTTTCAAGAGAGGGGCTTGGTTGGCCCAAACAGCTAGCAGATATCCTGGTCGCATGCAAATATGGCAATTCAGTCGTCATGTGAGTTTGCCATAGTGCCATGGTAGGAAAAAAGGCAAAAAAAGTTCTGAACCCGTCCAGGCTTCTGAACCTACACAAGTCTAGAGGATCAACCAAAATAAGCCTCTTTTTATGTTTTCGTTTGGGCTTACCGAACAGGAAGCAAACATACATAGTAGAAGTTTGGACAGGCCAGGGTACCCAGCAAAGGTTCCCCATTTTGCGTATATCACTACCTATATATATATTGTGTTGTATACAAAGTATATTTATATACTAGGCTGTACATTGACATTTCGTTATGTGGACGCATATTGCATGAACAATCAATGAACACATCAAGCTATCAAGGTCTGCTCACATCAATGAGCACATAATGTATATAGTATGAATCAACTACATGCAGCTACATGAACTGGAGCAGCATGGCATTGCAAAATTTTGGTTTCTCGCTATCTGTCACGCTCCCTCTGTCTCTTTGTAAAATATTGATAGATCAATATGTATTTATTTTTCATGAGCACAGCATTTCGCTTTGGTGAGTTGCAAACGATTTTAGGCAGGCCAGTCTGCAGATTCTTCAGACGGAGCAGAGGCGGTTGCAGAGACGGTCCGGACTCAAGTTGCATTTTCCGATGGCAATTTAAACATGTTTGCCTGACACTATTCCAGACCAAGGTGCTGCCTGCAAATACTGTCTCCTGGCACATATTGATACCTGTCGGGCATATGCAGTTCAATTTATTGGACGAGGTCACGCATGCGCTTTGCAAGAACCAGAGCGGCGGTACATTGGTGTGGCATTGCACGGCACGCCCTTCTCAGCCGCCACTTGCATGCAACACACCTCCCTGTGAATGACATGGAACAACATGGTCGACAAACAGGCCCCCCAAAAATCCAGCCCTCCGCGATCAAGCAGTTTTCCTCCATTTTCATCAAGTGTTGCTCCCGTTGTGTTGTAAAGCTTAAGATGTCCCGTCAATTGAACTTGGTTTACTGTAGCCAAAGTCCGGTCTTTTGAGTGTTTTGACTGTGGCGCAAATGTTCTTTGATGTGCCAGAGCTGTTCACCAACACTCATGCGTCATCCATTTTTGCTAGTGGCACTCTTACCGCTCTTACCCTCTTTATCTATATAAAACCTTGTCCTCTCAGCGTTTATCCTTCTGAAACCCAAGCATGGTGTGGTTGAGAGAACTGGGGCAAGTGCGTACTATGGATTCTCAGATTTCAAAGTTTATTCTCTGGAGACTTGGGAGGACACTTTATGGTGGCGCAAGAAACACAAAAGAACAGACTGAATTAGTGCGGTACCACAGCTTTTCGGGTATAGCAACATTGAACTTGCCACTTGTCTAAGCTGCCACAGCTTGCTGCCCTCCTTGCCACATCTCAACTTGAATTGCTGCCCTCCTCAACTTGAATTTGATCTCATCTCTAAGCTGCCCTCCTTGCCGCAAACACAAATTGCTTGCGTACTTGCGTACATCAAGCATCATCAGGCGCACACAAGCATTTGTCACTTGCATTCGTGGTTGTGCCCATGAAGCCAAGAGGACACATATAAAAACTGGCAATACAACAATACAACCGTACACCTCACCCAACTAAGTTTTGCCCCGCACCGTTTTGTATTTCCAGTCAGACGTCGAAGCCGCAAGAGCACTGCAAGTACGCGCAATGAAAAGGTACCAGTAGAGAACACAGGCATCCGTTGGCTGAGGACTGACTCCTGCAGCAGAGAGCATGTCAACCAAGTGTCAACCATCACCACTACCCCAAGTGCAATCAACTAAAGGTTCATGGACTGCTGTAGATGTTGTAAAGTCAGTATGCCAGTGTTGGATTTTCGTTGGGCGAGTGACTTGACATCTAAGGGACCCGTTCCACCAGGCGCTATGCAGCGCTCGACAGCAGAGTCGTCTGAATTTCCATCCATGGGTTCTTTCGGACATCCATTGTCTTGTGCGTACGGAGCCTAGTCAAAACTGTGCAAGTTTGAGCATCGGCATCAACATTCACGTGAAAGTCTTGTGACTCTGGAGATTTGCTACTTTTTGTCAGGCCCCCGTGCAAGTACAATTCCAAGTCAAAGGGCTGCAAAGATGGATCTTTGTGCGACCACTGCCATTTGTGCAGATGGAAGCGTCATGGTCCTCCTGGAGGTGGCGAAACCCTGAGACCAAGTCGTTCGTGAGCTGTCACCATCCTAGCGAGAGCATGTTATTCAAGCTTGGTGCTGAGGTTATACAAGCCTGGATGCACGTTCAACATCCAAAGAAGTTTGATGGTGTTCATTCGGTGCATGCCCAGTAATTCAAGAGGATTCGCGTTTTGAGCGAGCATGCTCAGCAAATACAAACACTCTCTATATATATAGATGCAAGCGGACCAGAACTTCTAACTTAGTAATTTATTGTTGGTCTTCTCACTGGGGAAAGAAACCTTCTTGGTTTGCTATCTTTTGTATGGTCCCAAAACTTGGCGCTGTGGTGCGTGTTGAGGTTAGTCGTGTTGCCATTAGATTCTGGCACTGCAAGTCAGCTTGATGGCACCTTTTTAGTGTCAATTTCTGACCAAGAGTTATGGCTGCTTTCTTGGGCCATGGGCCATCGGCCCTGCTGAAGCAGGAGCCCATGAGCTCTTTGATTCTTTAACTTCGTTTTTTTGACGTTCTCTTTTGAGAACATTCCGGCGACTTATCGACTCTTACACCTCATCAGTAGTACGGAACACTATTCTCGTTGTCGTATGTAGTACTTGTGTAGCTCTATTAATTAAGTTATATAAAGTTATATATATATATATTTATCGATTTTATCTTCGCTAAATAGGTCAAAACAAAAAGCAGGTCTGTGACACACCTGTGAAAAGGTTCCTGTCATAGACTGATCTTCCAGGCAATTCATGCAAACATAGAAGCGGAGCTCCGCGTGGGAGTAAACAAGCCGAAATGCTCAGGCCATCCACTTGGCATTTTTTGAACGCTCCGTATGACATTTTGCTATCTTGCACCGGCCGACCTCGTACCAGAACGTACAAGGTGGATACTGCTACTCCCCTGAGATGACTGTATTGAGAAAGAGGGATCTTGGTCGGTGCCTGCATTTCTTTTGCTGTACAGCAGGAGGCTGCCTGTACACTCTTGGCAACTTATGAGTGCCTGGACTAGCCAATTGAGCGAGGCTCACGCATCGTCCGGAATACCCACTTTACTCAACTCCAATGACTCCAATGATGAGTTTTTGTTCTTTCTTGATGCAGTGTGAGTCAAATCTCTTGACCCGTTGCAGAGCTGTATAGGTTGCTCGCACGAGGAATTTCGCTTCGCAGTCCATACAACTCAGTACAGCTTGCAGAAGACAAATATTGAATCACATGGGCTTGCATATCTGCATATAAATGCACATTTTAGATCCTGCCAGTGATGCTTTGGCCTTGGTGGTGCTGGTGAAATGCTTCAACACTTGGCAATTCCTTTCATTGGCTGAAGAGGATATGATCACAGGATGCATGAACATGTTGGGATAGTGTTCAGGGAGCAGATTCATGGTTGGAAGCAGTTTCGCCAGAATATTACTGCATAGCTTTAAGGAACACTCGAAAAGGTTCAGGTCCGCAGCATTGCAGCAGCTGAATGCACCTACTGTAAAGCAAGTACACGCAGCACAAGGCAACATATTATTAGCACAACCGAAAGTGGCTTTGGCAAACACTATTGATTACAATGGCATCTGGCACTCCGCCCAAAGTGGGGTGCTTGGCGATGCGCTCGCCACACTTGAGTCCAGCGAAAGGTTGTGCTAATGGGTAATGCACCTCCAAATTTGTTGGCCGGCGGATTGGGTTGGAGGCCATCGCTATTGCTCTTAGGTTGGAGGCCATCGCTATTACTATTAGGTTGGAGGCCAGCACTATTACTATTAGGTTGGAGGCCATCGCTATTGGGTTGGAGGCCATCGCCACTAGGGTGGAGGTCATCGCTAGTAGAATCTTCTGTTGTTTTGGTTGATTTGGTTGCGGGACAGTTGAAGAGGCTGCTTCATCACGTTGTTACAGGATAAAGCCATTCAGTAGCAGCTGTCTCTGCGATTGACGGTAGCTAGTGCCACAGCTTGCCAGTTTGTGAACTTTTGTGTATTTGCTTTCAGCCTAAAGCTGAGGTTTTCCATTTCAAGCTGGTCCTGCTGGGGGATGCCTCGGTTGGAAAATCCTGTTGCTCAGCTCTGAAATGCAAAGAATGCGAAGAGAGAGAGAGAGAGAGTACGTCACATGAGCTTGACAACATGGCAGGGAGTAGAAATCTCACCGGCAGACAATCAGAAATCACGAGAGTCTTCCAGGCTTGGTTGTCAGATTCGCCAAAGGCCAGAGTTGTTTTGTACGGGCGTAAGTCGGCGCAAGTTCAAGTGGAACGCAAATAGTCCCTGACTTCGAGCATTTTGAGCAGAGAGAGAGAGAGAGAGGTTAGACGTTTATATAGTCCCTTCAAAGTGCAGGAGAGTTCTATGAGTACCAGGACAAGCAGCTGCCTTGTCCAAATCTTTGTCCAAAAAGAAGGGAGCTTGCGAGTTTTGAATGAAGGAGCCTACAATTGGCGCTGCTTTCATGACCCAGACAGTAAGCCTCAGCTCAGAGGTCAGACCCTCGAGTTGGCCAGTGAGATTTCACAGGACATGTTGTGCACTTGTGAAGATTGTGAGCACGCACACGGCCAGGTGGTGAAGTACGAGATTTGGGATACAGCTGGGCAAGAGCGGTACAAGAGCCTGGCTCCCATGTTGGCATCTCAGAATAGGCACAACGGCATGAGTTTCGGGAGTTCAGAGACAAGGAGACGGGGTTAAGTAACCACTAGCTTCGCGGCTCCCAGGTATTACAGGGGAGCTGCCGCTGCCGTGATTGTGTTTGACATCACCTCCCGGGACCGCTTGTTGACAATCATTGAGCAATGGATTGCAATGGGCTGTGGGTGAATTGACAAGCATCTTCACAGCATGTCAAGAGCTCTCAAAAGGTTTTGCAACATTTCCTTCCAGATTCCAGGAATCTTTCGATGCCGCGAAGTCCTGGGTTGCGGAGTTACAAAACACGGAAAGGGGTGCGTAGCGCAAAGGTTGTCTTTGATTTGCATCTTTGCCGGAAATGCATGTTGCAGTCAAGCTCTATGAAGGACACCTTGATTGCCTTGGCTGGAAACAAGTCTGACTTGGAGGCTTGGAGACGTGTTCCAACAGGACTTTCCTGCTCTCTGCAAGGGCAAAAACAGCAGTTTGGCTCGCTCGGCAGCTTGAGCAGAGGCAAGCAGAGCTGTGGAAAGAGAAATGGCCAAGAGCTATGCAGACCAGATGGGCATCCTCTACATGGAGCGCCAGTGCTGGTGTCGATTCCTGTTGAAGATTCTCAAGAACTCCTGTTGCGAGGAAACATCTGCGAAGAGCGGCCAAAATGTTAACGAGCTTTTCCATGAGCTGCTTGACCTGTTGGCAAACGAAAACGTGTGGACGGGTAAGAGCATTGTTTGATATTGTTTGTGTATGTTTACATGCTTTTCTCAACACATCAGTGGGGGATGCACCGCTATGATTGCAAGGATTGCTGTTCGCCTGCCCAAGCAGTCCAAGGACCAGCGCTGCAGCATACTTTGACGTTGCACTGCTAGCACACTAGAAGTCAGATATGAAGGTGGGTTCCCTGAGCAAGAAAGGAACAAGTTGAGGCATTTCCTGTTTCTGAAGTGATTGGATTTGTTTCCTGACATTTATTTCACAGAACATGTTGTTCCCTAAACATCTAGGAACCAAATGAATAGTGCGAGCGCTTCTTCAAGGAGGCTTCCCCCCTGAGGGTGGGGGGAAGCTTCCTTGAAGAAGCGTGAGCTATCTTGCGTGCTAGGTAGTATATAGCTAAAGTAAGCTAGTAGCTACCTCTCTTCTACTAGCTACCTCTTCCTACCTCTCGGCCAAACCCCCCCGGGCTTGAAAAAAACAAGTTATGCAACTCTTGGGCGACAGCAAACGTTCTTTTTCACAGAAAATTCATCACGGACTCTCATAGAGAAAGGGCAGACATTGAGGTCGTTTGAAAGACTTATTGAACAATAAAGAGGCTGAGGCCGCTAGCACTGCTGGGGTTCTCCATCTTTTGTCCTTGAGGAGGATGATCAGTCTCGTGGCTTCGCAGCTGTGGCCTCAACTGTGCAAAGGGGGCGGGCGAAGCTGCGTGAACGGTTCTTGCCCTCGTTCTTGCACAAAGAGAACTTTCGCTGCCTGTTCTTGCCTTGGTTTTGCTCGTTTCTATCTCGTTTGGCAAAACCTTTCATCCAGACTCCGGAATCATGTTAGCCTTGCAGGACCCAGCCAGGGTAAGGATGTTCCCCCCCGTCTTCACCTGAAGTCTGCCTCTTGATCCTGCCACTTGAAGTAGGCCTAGTGCTTGGCCATTCCAAGGTCGGCAGCCAGGGCGGTGCGGCCAGTTCAACAGGGTGTGCTGGCTCTTGCTGAGAGGGCTCATAGTCCAACCTCGATAGTTTTTGCTTCGCCCTCATCTATAGTCAAAGAATGTCAACGATACGCTTATTTTGACATGCCTTTGGTCTTAAAACGCATGCTTGTCAGATGTACAGTTGAGTTAGGCAGTTAGGTTAGAATTGCTCAGAGTGATGAAACGTCACCAGATAAACCGCTTGGTATGCCAACGCTGCTGAGCCATGCAAAAGCCAGTCCAGATCCTTGAGAACCTGACAGTAAACCCGAAACCTCTCAGAACCTGCTGATACCAAAGATCACTTGAGAGATCTCTATGATATATTCGGACCCTTTCTCCAAAGTTGACCAAAGTCATGTGCACCGCGAAGCTTGTCCTTGTAGCGTTTGCTCAAAACTCAAGACATCATGAACTCAGAATGTACAGTATTTTGTATTTTCGTATTCTTTGAAGGAGGATTTTGCGTGTCAGAACCAGGAGAGTGTGATTAGTTCAGGACCCAAGGCCCTGAAGGGCCTTTCAGTGATCATGGCCATGGACTTCAAATTGCCTTCTGGCTGCTACACGGAGAGCTCTGTCAAGGACAAGTGCCAAAAATGCCATAGACTCTCATAGTAACAAGGACGCTATTAGGTGGAAGCCATCGCTACTAGTAACTAGAAGCTACTAGTAGCTAGAAGCTACTAGTAGCTAAAGGCTACCAGGTGGAGGCCATCGGTACTAGTAACAAGAAGCTACTAGTAGCTAGAAGCTACTAGGTGGAAGCCATGGCTATTAGGTTGGAGGCCATCGCTACTAGCAACAAGAAGCTACTATTAGCTAGAAGGTACTAGGTGGAGGCCATCGCTATTAGGTTGGAGGCCATGGCTACTAGTAACAAGAAGCTACTAGTAGCCAGAAGCTACTAGGTGGAGGCCATCGCTATTAGATTGGAGGCCATCGCTACTAGTGACAAGAAGCTACTGGTAGCTAAAAGCTACTAAGTCGAGGCCATCGCTATTCGGTTGGAGGCCGTCGCTACTAGTAACAAGAAACTACGAGTAGCTAGAAGCTACTAGGTGGAGGCCATCGCTATTAGGTTGGAGGCCATCGCTC